GCACTGCAGTGCAGAGCCTACTTGGGATTCTGTGTCACCCTCTCTCTCTGTCCCTCCCCCAGTCACACTGTCTCCATCTCTCTCAGAAGAAATAAACTTAAAAAGAAAATTTTTTAAAAAATCACTGTCTTCATGGAATACAATTCACACAAGAAATAATGCTGCCTTACATTAAAGTAGTCCATAGTCATAAGAGGAGAGGTATGAAGCAGTATGGAGTTGGTTGGATATATTTTGAAGATAAAGAAAACTAGATTTCTTGATGTAAAAGATGAGAAAGAGTCAAGGGTAACAAAAAGGAAAACTCGAGAGTTTGGGGCCTGAGTACAAAAAGGATGGAAGTGTTATTCTCTAAGATTTGGAAAGACCCTGAGGGAACAGGTATAGAAAAACTGAGATACATTTAGTTTTGAACATGTGTCATTTGAAGTGCCTCTTACATATCCAGGTAGAGATGCTGACTAGGAACTGAGATAGGGGAGTCTGCATTGCATGAGAGTTGAACAGGATGGAGACATACCAGTATTCTGGAAGAACCACCTAAGTATATTTTGAAATTGCCAGGAATTATGAAAGCATCAAAATGGGAGAGAGTGACAAAAAGCCAAGAGTAAATACCATTTAAGGAGGAAGGAGAGGAGCCCTGTTGGGAGGTAGAGGGGAGTTGGGAGGGTAGAGGACTGCACCAACACAGATTAGACGCTGGCTACACTCTGATGACATGAAATTCGGGAAGGATGAATAAATGTTTGGGGATCATCAATGAGGAGCAAGAAGAACATGTATCAGACGTCTAGTCATCAGTACTAAGGGTGTGGGAGAAAAACAGGTTCCACTTCAGAAGCCTCCAGGGAAAGCACGGTACTCAGAAGATTTCAGTTATAGTAGAAAGTTAAAGGTAATATCAGGGGAGTTGAAGATTTTTCACTGTGATTGACTATGGACTCCAGAAGGCAAAATGAAGAAAAAGTGTAAGAGATGTAGAAGAATGGAAGGTTGAAAATACCATATACTGGGTGTTTGAGGATTTAAATCTGGGATATGAGGGATGAACAGATCCTACCATGAACAAAAGTAAAATGAGATTAATCTTCATGACCCTAAGGCAGATAGCAGTAGCAAGACTTTCAGCACTGAAGACGGAGAAAAAGAAACATTTCCAATAATATACATAGTTCTGGCTACAGTATGGTGTCCTCATTCAGAAAGCACAATAACTTTCAAGATTGATACGTTTAAAAATTACATATTTGGGGCGCCTGGGTGGCGCAGTCGGTTAAGCGTCCGACTTCAGCCAGGTCACGATCTCGCGGTCTGTGAGTTCGAGCCCCGCGTCAGGCTCTGGGCTGATGGCTCAGAGCCTGGAGCCTGTTTCCGATTCTGTGTCTCCCTCTCTCTCTGCCCCTCGCCCATTCATGCTCTGTCTCTCTCTGTCCCAAAAATAAATAAACGTTGAAAAAAAAATTTTTTTTTAAATAAAAAAAAAAAATTACATATTTAGGTGAATTCTTGTAAGCCCAAAAATTCAAAGAGAGTACTTTTTGTACACAGAAAGAAACGACAACTACAATGAAAAGGCAGTCAATCAGACAACTCAAAACCAACAATGGAAGCCAGTAAATAACAGCAGCAAAGTACTGCTAGAAAACATTTGTTTTGACCTGGGATTTTTCATTTAATGAAACTATCTTTCAAAAATAAGCATAAACAGGGGCGCCTTGGTGGCTCAGTAGGTTAAGCATCCAACTTCAGCTCAGGTCATGGACTTGCAGTTCGTGAGTTCGAGCCCCACATCGGGCTCTGTATTGACAGCTCAGAGCCTGGAGCCTGCTTCAGATTCTGTGTCTCCCTCTCTCTCTACCCCTCCCCTGATCTCTCCCTCTCTCTCTCTCAAATAAACATTTTTTTAAATTTTTAAATGAGCATAAACAAAGATTTTGTAGACCCAAAAACCTTATTATGAAAACATACCAATTTCATTAGCATTGTGTTAATTATTATATTTTACTAAATGTATCAAATGTAAGTATTAAAAGTATTAATTGTGTGAAATTGCCTCAGGCTAGGCAATTAAATCAATGCAACAGAATAGAAAAATCAAACCACAACAACAGGTAGGATAGTTCATTCAGCTGAAGGCCCCAGAAGATTAACAGCTCTTTTTCCTGAGTCCTATATTGCAAGCAAAACAACAATATTCCAAAAGAAATGTAATGTTGGCTCTGTTAAAAATCCATAAAACCTAAAAAAAAAATAAAGAAAGAAAAATTGAAGACAGACCCACACATAAAAAGTATGTAATGCAGGAAATGATGCAGTTCAGTGGGGAAAGAATTTTTCAACTAAAAAGTACTGGGACAATTGGTTATAGACCAATATCTCTGATGAACATAGATGCAAAAATCCTCAGTCACCACGGTTAAGTGGGATTTATTTCAGGGATGCAATGATAACTCAATAACTACAAATCAATCCATATGATAAACTACATTAACAAAATGAAGGATAAAAACCATATGATCATCTCAACAGAGACAGAAAAAGCATTTGACAAAATTCAACCTCTATTCATGATAAAAAACTCAACATAGTAGGTTTACAGGAAACATGCCTTGACATAATAAAAATCCATCTGTGATGAACCCACAATTAACATTATACTCAGTGGTGAAAAGCTAAAAGCTTTTCTAAGATCAGGAAGAAGACGGGGATGTCTACTCTCACAACTTTTATTCACATAGTACTACAAGTTCTAGCCACTGCAATCAGACAATATAAATAAATAAAATGCATACAAAATGATGAGGAAGAAGTAAAATTGTCATTATTTGCAGATGACAATATACCATATGGAAAACAAAACGCTAAAAACTCCACCAAAAAAAAACAAAAAAAAAAAAACCTGTTAGAACTGACAAATGAGTTCTGTAAAGTGCAGGATATAGGAATCTCATATTAGTTGTACATCTATACACTAATAACAAAGTAGCAGAAGAAGAAATTAAGAATTAAATACCTAAGGGTAAACTTAACCAAGCAGGTGAAAGACCTGTGCCCTGAAAACTATAAGAAACTGATGAAAGAACTTGAAGATGACACAAATAAGTGAAAAGATACAAATGAAAAGAACGAAGATACATTCCTCATGGATTAGACGAATTAACATTGCCAAAATATCCATACTACTCAAAGAAATCTACAGATTCAATACAATGCTTATCAGAATGCCAATAGTATTTTTCACAGAACTAGAAAATTTCACAGAACTAAAATTTGTATGGAAGCTCACACACACACACACACACACACACACACACACACACACAACCTGAATAGCCAAAGCAAATGTAAGAAAGAAAAACAAAGCTTAAGGAATCACAACCCCACGTTTCAAAATATACTACAAAGCTACAATAATCAAAACAGTATGGTACTGGCACAAAAAAGGACACATATATCAATAGAACAGAATTAAGAGCCCAGAAAGAAATCCACACTTACATGATAAATTAATCTATGATAAAGGATGAAAGAATATTCAATGGCAAAAAGACAGCCTCTTCAATAAACAGTGCTGGGTAAACTGGACAACTACATAAAAAAGAATGAATCTAAAGTATTTCCTTGTACCACACACAAAAATAAACTCAAAATGGATTAAAGACCTAAATGTAAGATCTGAAACAATAAAACTCCTAAAGGAAACATAGGCAGTAAACTCTTGAACATTGGCTTTAGCAGTACTATATACCAGCCATTCATGCCACATCTTCTGTGTAATGTGTGTTGATGTTTTTGCCATCTTTGATATTATTGAGTTTTGGGACTTTTTCTATTTAATGTGTTGAAATCATCTTTTTCCATTTTGTTTCCTTTGCCTGAGGAAACAGATCCAGAAAAAAATACTATTTCATTTTCTGAAATTCCTTCTTTCCTGTGAGTTTTACTAGTGAGGACTGAATAAACTAATTTTTTAAACAAGTATAATACAAGTCAGGTAGTAATTTTGAATATATAAAGTTAACCTTAGGATATATTTTGCTACCGTTATTAATAATTACCACAGTCTGGCTTGCAACAACAACCACCACCAAAACTGCAGGTAGGAAAAACAAAACTGCAGTTAGTTTGCCTTGATCATTTTTTTTAAAGCTTTTTTTATCACAGAAAATTAGGATTTCTAATTTCTCTCCCGAATGAGAAGAATTTCAAGGACCATGTGAGTGGGGCAGGGAAACAGTGATCCATGAGGAAGTAAAGGCTTTTCATATCTCCTGTAAAACCTTAGAGGACATTAGACACAGACTACTTTTTTTTGTAAAGCTTATTTATTTATTTTGAAAGAGAGGACGTGCGAGTCAGGGGGTGGCAGAGAGAGAGAGAGAATTCCAAGCAGGCTCCTCAATGCCAGCACAGAGCCCCATGCAGGGCTCCAACCCAGGAACCACGAGGTCATGACCTGAACCTAAGTGGGAAGCTTAACGGGCTGAGCCACCCAGGCGCCCCAGGCAAGGACTACTTCTTAAAGTAAACAAGCAGTTTTTGACCCTGTGCTCTGGCTCTCCACCCCTCACCCCACCCCACCCCCCAGAAGAAAGGCAATAAAGGCCAGTGGAACCCACAGGCACATCCAAGGGGTATTCTCGCTACAGTTTCTTAAAAACCTCCCGCTACTGCACGTCACTAAATCTAATCCCCCGTTAGGCAGGAGGCGGGGCTTATATTGAAACCTCCTCTGCCGGTCACCTGACTTCTCCTATTAATAATTCAATGCTTACCCTGACGTGTGAGGGCCTACTCTGCGCCACCAGAACCTGGACAGAGGGTCTCCCGGGAGGCGCCCCCAGAACTCCCGGGCACTCACTCTGCGTCGCGCCGTACCGCGCCCCGCCGCGCCCCGCCGCCTCACCTGTCGTCGAGACCTGTCACTGCGTGCAGGACCCAGCCCCTCACGCCCTCCGCCAGGCCCCGGCAGCGCCACCCGCAGCGTCGTCCAGGTCATGGGCAGCCGGCCCCGCAGCCCCAGCGCCTACCCTGCGCCCTGTCCCGGACCGTCGACCGGAGGACCCGGCCCCGCCAAGCGCAGACGAACCGAGGAGCTTGCAGGCCTGGAAGGCCTGGAGGGGCCCCCGGCCGCCGGTGCCCTCACCTCGGTGGTGGTCCTGGCCACGGGATGTGCCCTGCAGATGTCCCTGGACGACGTCGACCTGGTGCTGGAGCCCGAGCCAACGTCGGTCCTGCAAGTGTCTGTCAAAGAGCTCACCCTGCTGCTGGTCCCCGAGGCCCTCCTGCGCTCAGGAGAGCAGGGCCACTCGCTTGTCGGCCTGGAACCCGGCGCTTTCCTGGGCGCGCCCGGGCATGACGTCGCCGTCGAGCAAGGATTCTTCTGCGCATCTGTCCCACAGATGGCCCCCCAAGAAGAGGCCTATGAGGAAGACGCGGACCCCGCGTTCCTGTCGCCTCGGATAGACCCTGCAGCCGGCTCCGTCGCTGGGCTCCGCCCCTGCGCGGGAAGCGTGGCCAACCCCTACCGTGTGGGCCAGGTACCAGAGCCGCGGTCTTGGGCCCCCACTCCTAGTCCAGAGAGACGCTCTTCTTTCCGCTACTTCAACCTGGACGTCCACCTTCTGGAGCCCTTCCCCGACTCGCCACTCCAACCTCTACCTCCCTCTCCGAGTCCAGGCCCCCACGCGCGCCCCCAGCGCCCTCCGGGTCCTTCTCGCAAGGCCCGGAGACGTCTGTTCCAGGAATGAACTGCTCCCACAATCTCTCACCACCCGGCTTCGGCACTAGTGATCCTCCACTACACGCTGTGAACACATACCACCACTCAGAGATGAAGCATCTGCATCGTAGACAATGGGCAGCTGCAGTTTTTGTTATTTCGTTTTTGTCTCATTTTGTTTAGCTAAATGCCTTGATCGGTAGCAGGCATGGATGGGTGGGTGGATGGATGGATGGATGGATAGATAGATAGATAGATAGATAGATAGATAGATAGAGTCTGGTAAGGACCTTTAGCAGGGAGAGTAGACCACACATAATCAACGACGGATTTTCAGGTCCCTTGCTTGTGGTGCATGAGCTGTTTCTTCCACTTCTGTCATCTTCAGCCAACCCTATTCTTCTTGTTTCACCCCTACTCTTGCTTCAGAGTCATCTCATTTTTTTTCCAATTTATCCCCTTTTTTCATCACCTCCCAATGCCTGTCTCCTTTCTCTCCACTTCAGGTTGTTTTTCCTTACCTTTGTAATTGTGAATTTACCTCTATGAATTCTCCAATGCCCTTGGAGGTGCTTCTGATCACCAGTTTTTGTTTGTTTGTTTGTTTGTTTGCTTTTAGCATGCTCAATATTTATTAAGAAGAGCTTTGTGAAAAAAAGGCCAAGTAAACAGTAGGGAGACGAGGAGAAGTTAAAGTGCTGCAGATCCAGTGACAGCCTCAGCAACCTCTTTGGGAGCTCGGGAGTCAGAATGGCTGGTCAGCGTTGTCCCAGGGAAGGCTGAAATAGCCCTCTTCCCTCATCAATCAGCCACTGGGTGTGAGAGACCAGGGAAGGACCATAGCCCAGGGCAAGGCCACTTTCTTCAGGTGAGACAGTTTCTAAAGGGCATGGCAGCTGAAGGCTGTCCATAGCACTTCTTCTAGCACTTATGGAAAAATTTCTCATAAAGAGGATCTAGGTGGTGCATTGCACTGCCCACTGCAACATCATAATATTGATTTCTTTTATCTTAATATTCGTCTATTCACCTCCACTTTCTGATCTTTATGATTAGCAGTAAAGAAATTATAATTTTCTTCATATAGGTCTTGAATATTTGGATAAAACCTAATCACTAATTTTCTTTTTCTCTTCTTGCTTTCTAAACTCCTTTCCCTGGACCTGGTCAATCAAGATAAATGCATACTGAATGAATGAATGAATGAATGGCACACAAATGTAATGCATTGGGCTTTGGGGAAGTATTTCTAAAATTAGAATAAAAAACGGTGAAAATAATGTTTTCTTAAAGTTTACTTATTTTGAGAGAGAGAGCACAATTAGGGGAGGGGCAGACAGAAAGAGACAGAGAGAGAATCCCAAGCAGGCTCTACACTATCAGTGCAGAGCCTGATATAGGGCTCAAACTCACCAACTGTGAGATCATGACATAAGCTGAAGTCAAATGTTTAACCAACTGAGCCACCGAGGCACCCCTGAAAATAATATTTAATGGAAGGAGGAAAGGAAAAGCCATGACATTGTTTCATTACAGAAGCAGACTGTACACTATTCTCCTGTATTCTCCTGTAGCTAAACAGTCAAATGGGTATTTCTTTGTTTTTAAGTTTTTACTTAAATTTCAGGGAACATACAGTGTAATATTTCTTATTTAAGTTTATTTATTTATTTTGAGAGAAAGAGAGAGAGAGCATGACTGGGGAGAAGGGGCAGAGGGAGAGAGAGAGATTCCCAAGCAGGTTGTGCACTTGTCAGCACAGAGCAGAGCCCAATGTGTGACTCAAATTTACAAACCGAACCGGGAGATCATGACCTGAGCCGAAATCAAGAGTCAGATGCTTGACCAACTGAGCCCCCCAGGCACCCCAACACACAGTGTAATATTAGTTTCAAGTGTACAATATAGTGATTTAACACTTTGATACAACACCAGTGCTTATCACAAGTGCACTCCTTGATCCCCATCGCCTATTTCACCCATCCCCCCCATCTCCACATATGAGTGAAATCGTATGGTATTTGTCTTTCTCTGACTGACTTATTTAGCTTAGCCTAATACTTTCTAGCTCCATCCATGTCATTGCAAATGGCAAGATTTCACTCTTTTTTATGGTGAATAAATATATACATATATAATACATACATATACACATACATATAGTGCACAAAATATGTGTTAAATTGGCCGTTCATGTTATCAGTAAGGCTCTGGTCAACAGTAGGCTATCAGTAGTTAATCAAAGTTACACACAGATTTTTTACTGTGTGTGGTCAGCACCCCTAATGCTCTCATTGTTCAAGGGTCACCTGTATATATATGGCTCATTTCTCCTAAAGATTTCCAGTTCCATCACATGGATATACCATATTTTATTCATTAATTTATTAATGGATATTTGTGTTTATAGTTTTTAATATTACAAACAATACTGTAGTAAACATCCTCACACTTGTCATCTTATGCACCTGAGGAAGAGTTTCTGTAGGAAATATACCTAGAAATTATATTTATGTGTAGTATGGCGTGTACATATACAGTTTTGTAAGATATAGCCAAATTGTTCTCTAGAGTGGTTGTAACAATTTAAACAGCTTCTAGCAGTCTTTCACCACACTGTATCACCAAACTTTAATGTTCATTTATTTTTGAGAGAGAAAGAGAGACAGAGTGCAAGTAAGGGAGGGGCAGAGAGAGAGGGAGACACAGAATCAGAAGCAGGCTCCAGGCTCTGAGCTGTCAGCTCAGAGCCTATCACAGGGCTCAAACTCATGACCCACAAGATCATGACCTGAGCCGAAGCCAGACGCTTAACCAACTGAGCCACCCAGGCGCCCCTTGTATCACCAAACTTTAAGTTGTTTGCCAATGGTACCTCATTTTTTAAAACTGCAATTCCCCAATTACTGGTAAGACGATGAAAATTTTCATGTGTAATTGGAATGATACTTTAAAAATAATTTCAGATATATTTTCATATACTGCAAATCTTACTCTCAGCTTCTCACTCATTAAATCTAATGTCTTTAACCTTTTCAGTGGATAAGACAAGTACACCCTAGATTAAAGCAGTTAGCTGTCAGTCCAGAGTTTCAAGCTGACTCTTTTTAGCCCATTACTAGGTAAATATGAGAATCAGTTTTCTCCAGGCAGAAAAATTGTTATCTTAATTTCCTAAGCAACCTTTAAATATCAACAGCCAATTTTGGAAATTGGAACATAGAGTTTTAATAGAAACCATTAAGCAGAGGAGACAGAGTAGTTCTAACTGGGCAAGAATGGAAAGAAAAAAAGGCCAGTCTTACCTAAGAGTAGTATGTGGAAAGGAAAAGAGGGACAGGTTTAAGAGTGTAAGCATTCATCACTCACATGTCTCATGACTTTCAGCTTCTGTAAGTAAAAACTCTTCACAATGGTTTAGGAGAAGGCCAAGAAAAAGGAGGTTTTGGGGGTGCCCGGGTGACTCAATCAGTTAAGTATCTGACTCTTGACCTCAGTTTCGGTCATAATCTCACGGTTGGTGAGATTGAGCCTTGAGCCCCCACATCCAGCTCCATGCTGTCAGCTTGGAATTTCCTCTCTCCCTCTTTCTCTGCCCCTTCCCCCCTCAAAAACAAATAAATAAACATTAATAAAATAAAATTATATACGTGTGTGTCTGTGGAGATATAAATATATAAATATATATATATATATATAT